TGGCGCAGATTGTGGGGTCTCCTTTTTTGAGGATTGGGCATAGCACACTTAAATTCCAATCGTTGGGCATGCTTTCGTCCGACCATATTTTACAAAGAAGCTGATACATGCTCCTTATCAGTTCTTCGACGCCATGTTTGAATAGCTCGGCCGGCAATCCATAGATATACTGGTGCATAGTAATTCCAGATGGAAGTTCAGTGTAGTTTAAGGTGTAATATTCTTCATAAGGAACGTTTTTGCGAACTTTAAGACCGACTTGATAACTATGTTTGATAGTTCGTTTTTTGACCGAATCTCCTAGATACTTTGAACGAGGTTTAGGCAGTGCGGGACAAAGGCATAGGAGGTGAGGGTGCAAGCGAGTTTTCCGCATGCGCTTTTGCATATGATCTTGGCGATACTGTTAACCGCTAAATATGAAAAAAAATTAAGACAGCCTAAATTCGTTATCTCTAATAAAATGTTTTTGGTTTCTATGTTTGAAGTTTTTCTTATGTATTCCGCATATAAAAAAGTCTGAAAGTAAGCGAAATGTAGTAATGAAACTATGAGATTTTATGAGCTGTAGTAGTATCTAAGGTCATCGGATACCTAATATGATATAAGCCAGTCATAATATTAAATTCTTTCGCAATGTAAAGTTTTCTCTGAAAACTGCAATAGAATAAAATATTCGGTTACACCCGAGCATAGACGTTCCTTTTTATAAATAACTCTTAGGAACTTGATTTGATTGAATCGCTTAGTTTTAGAAATCAGGTGAAAGATAAAAATTGAATTACTATTGCAATAAGAATTATAGACAAACAACTCTTGCTTTCTTTAACACCATAATGCACCATGTCATGTCACACTGTCCGTAATTCTTAGCGCCTTTTTCGCAAAAAAATCTACCCATTTCGCAACCACCATATTCGCTTGAGTTGGCTCTGTGCGACTTCAACAAACTTAACCGGGCAACAACGTTTTGACACGATTGAAAAATAAAAACCGAATAGAAGAGAGACTATACTGGTAAAGACTATTCCAACTATTTCCAGGAAAGTGTTGGAAGTGTTGGCAAAAAGACGTCTTATCGGTCGGGACTACTTTTAAGGGAATAAAATTTATTTGGAAGAATAAATTATGAATATACGTAAACAAATATTATATTTTAGTTTTCAAATTTGAACTTTTTCGCAAACATAGCCTAGTGGCATTATCTCACTAATGTCAATGATATAATATAAATTGAGATCTTCACGTACGTTACCTGGGCGCTGGAAGTTCAATTTCCTCCACTTTTAGATTAAAACTGCCACACTACGTTTTTTATCATAAAGGTTTGATGCAGTGTTTGGCCGCACCCGAACTTCCTTCTTTCTACTAGGTAATTAAATGAATTTATAACTTTATTGTCATATGTGCACACCTGTACATTATATAACAAGTAATCTCAATTCTCCTGAGTTTTGCTGCATACGGCGTATAAATAATGTTGTTCTCACATATGTATGTAAATTCATACGGGCGAAAATTATTTGAACAACCCTAAACGTTTCCTAGCAATAGGCATGCATTAAGTATTTGTAGTTCCCCGAAATTCGCTCAAACACTCAATGCCACAAAAAATATGTTCTACAAACTAATAGTTCCAATTACAAGCTACAATTTATAAAGGAACACAGACAACCGCCACGCCCAGCAACAACATACTTATACCTTTTTATATCAAATATCTGTAAGGATGTATTTGTGTGTACGCGTAATGGATTGCGTTATTAAACTCGGGAGCTGCACTGAATTAATTGTCCTTGTTGTTGTACATTTTACGCACACGCCATGGGTTCCATAACCGAAACTTTTTACAAAATTTAGCTAATTAAACTAAGCAAATTTCCAGGGACTACACACACACGTGCACATCGGGTGCAAATGCATAATTGGCTTGCAGAATGGCCTTATCGACCTTCCCGTAAGCATTATGCATTTAGGCATCACTTAAGTAGACAAGCAAAATCAGCAGCTCAGAGCTCTGAGCAGCGCTGAGGAGCAAAGTTCACCGCAAGCGTTTGTTTGCCACCAACAGACTCGAAAGCTCTAAATATGCTTTGTTGATGTAATTAAATTGTTATTGCTGCAACAACGCACACACACATTTAGTGTTGTTATGAAATGCGAAGCAATATCTCAGCTTATAGCACACATACCGCTGTACAAATGTACATGCAACATTTAATACTCGCAACATACATATTTCTTGTGAATTCCGCCCCTCATAAGCTGGATGCATAGTTGAAATTGTTGGCAACAGTTTTGGCTCTAATATGCTGTTCAATATAATTAAGTGCCACGCCGACAAGCTTTAATAGCGTGTGCATGCATGAGTGTATATGTGTGTTATAAATGCAACGCACATCCTGTGCGATAATACACCGAGCCGATGCAATTATGCATCCTGCCAGGCCACTCAACCACTCAGCCGCTCAGCCATTCAAGCAGTCAAGTAGACAAGCATTCAGGCTTATAATAGCATTGCAGTTAGAGGCTGCTTGTGTGGGTGCATCTGTGCACACACGCAAGATAAATTGCTTTCGGGCTTATAATATTAATAATAGACTAACACTTGTGCTTTCAACTCACACATAGGCAAAACAAACAAACAATCGAATGGCACGCAAACAGCCACAAGGAGTAAGTAGATTTCAATGAACGCCCTCCTCGAAATTAACTATT